GTTCTTAATAAAATAGGCGAACTGATTGGCGTACTGGGTGTACGTTTCCATATCATGTTGTAAATCCCTACTATGTTCGGTTGTATCGTGTCACGTTGCTTTCGAAAAATCACAGAGTGGGATTTCAAACCGGAAATGGCAAATATATTTCGTGTTATCATACCGTAGTGCCTTGTCCTGCCCGACGCTATCTGCATTCGCATCGTCCCTCGTCGTCGACTCATCGTCGTGAGTACCAGGGATCGTGGGTTCCTGGACAGTCTTGTACCGTCGCGTCTTAGAACTGGCGTAAGGCGGGCCTGGGTGAACTTAACAGAACTGCACAAAAATGGTATTATCGTATGTTCACATTTTTCGATTGAGAGCGTAGCATACAGTATTGGCCATATGTGAGTTGAAGTAAATGTGCCGAACAATCAAATGTCTGTTATACCAAATTGTACAACTTTGTCCTTCCCTATTTTGCTAGCAGGTTGGCTGAATTTCGAATTTAGGCTTTGTTTCAAAATTTGCTAAAAATTTTGTTATATCTCATAAGCAGAAAGAGGATGTTGGATGTTCCCACATTTACTAGGTGGAGAGTAAATTCACTCGTAATTATTTAAAAAAAGTTACAGATATCGGTTATTGTAGCGTTTCCCCACCCCCGCCCCTCCCGTATTTCAGTTGTACATGTGTAACTATGGAGGGGCAATTTTGAATTACAGGGGGGCTGGAGTGTTTGGGCTCAAGTTAGGGGTTTGTAGACATTCACTGTTTTAGTAATTACTTAACTCATTTTTCCCGTGTCACAAATACCAAGATACAAGTCTGTATTTGATAGTGAAGCAGATTGGACATTGTATATATAAGACTTTGCTCGGAGCAATTCTTTAAACTGGAACCACATACTATTTAAAGACAACGGCACATGAACGATCCAAGAAATGTAATGTATTGTACTGTATATTCTAATAAACCCTATGTCTCCATATTTACTGTGTAAATGTCGTGTGTTTTCTTGTGCATGAATCATACTGAGGAAACCGCAACCACACCCTTAGCAATTCTACCTCAAACTATTAAGCTAACAATAGTATACACTTATTCATTTTGGCAACATTTGGG